GCATTGCAGGTGAATACTAGAGCCATGCTGCTTCTGCTCTACCAAGATCCTCTCTTATTTTGTAGTCCCTTTCAGGGCACTTTGTTCTGATACAGCACTCTTAAGAAGCATTTTTATGGCTGTAAATGGGATGATATAATGCTTTGAAGCAGTGAAGAATATCAGATAGTTCTACCAAATGTCATGTGTGAATGGGGTGGTGGTGTGAAAATCGCTTATGGCGTTGTAGAGTCTGATGCATGAGGGCTCCTATTGCTTGGTCCATTCCCTGTTTATACAAACAAGGAAGAAATGCACATATGTGACTACCTTCTGTGGAGTTTATTCTACTTGAAGGGTCTTCCATGACAGCCCAAATGGGGTTTTTTCAGCCCACCTAAAGAGCACTTAGAGTTTGTGAGATGTTTTCTCTCCTGTGCTACATTAGCTGTACCTACCAGACTGTAAAGATGCACTCTATTGCCATTCTTCTTTGCATCTGTGATGCTTTACAGACTGAGGAAATTGAGAACTCCCTCCCCCAAATGCCAACTTTTGATCCATTTCAGACATAAAACTTTCCAGAATACAGATTAGTGGGGAAAAGCTTGTTAAAAGGTAAGTGTAGTTGGATATAAATTGGTAAAAATAACTGATTGCCTACTTTATAATCTGTGTACAAAAAACCAAACCACAAAAGGTCTCCCTGTTACAGCTGAGTCTTGTCATGTTTCAGATGCCTTGAAATAAATCCATGTGCACTGATGGCTGCGGCTATGAGTCAGAGCCCCTGGACAGCGAGCACCCCAATATTGGAGTTGCTGCTTGGTTGCTTCCCTGATAGACAATAAGGTGGAATCCATCAGTGCTGAAAAGTAATAAAAGCAAAGATTGTCATGAATCTTTAATTTAAAAAAATTGCAGAGTATTCTGCTGATGGAAAATCTAAGGCAGTTGAGCTGACCTTGCCTCTATGCCAGCAGGGGAAATGGGCTGTCTACAAGGCTTGTGGCTGTCCAGTATTGGCTGGTTTTCAGTGTGGTGGAAGGTCTTAGTGGCTACAGGTTTTTGCTCTGATGAATTAATATTTGTAAGCTTCCTTTGATGCCAGTGTATTGCTTTTCTGTGAAAACACGATTTTTAATATTAAAGCAATATATTCTTCTTATTATTATTATATTATTTGCTCCTTCTTTACATGGGAAATTTTCTAAGTAATATCTGAGAAAATTAACTTCACTGCATGTATGATAGAAAGACTGGCTTTTACTTTTGAAATTGTAAATTCCATTTGGCATTTTTCAATCTGTCACTCAGACCATGTAGGAAAAACAATTTGCTTAATTTAATAATGACTATGATATACAACCTGATAGTAATTTTTTCTCTTTTAACTATCATTCACTATGATATTTAGGTCCTAGATGCTGTGGGGAATTAGTCCAGTTCCTGTTTACTTTGAGTATTTAAAAAAAACAAATCCCAACCCCAAAACCCAGCTATTCTACATAGTTTGAGGCTGTGGTAAAACATCAATTTCAAGACATTGATTAATGTGCTTTTAGTAACTCAATGTTGAATTCTTCTTTAAATCCATACATCAGTCCAACTTAAACATGAAGTCAACTAGCATGGTAATTATTTTAATTGCTATTGCATACAGGAATCCACTAGAGTTATTAACTGGATTCAGGTATAGAACTAATAAGTTGGAACAAGCTTTTGGGGTTTATTTGTTATTGCAGACTAATGCAGAAGTTACTTAAATGTTTCTGGTTTTCCTGTAAATGTTGCAGTGTGTAGATGATTTTTGAAATTAAATGTATTTTAAAATTAGCAACCTCTGGGAATGAAGTTTAGAACTGACCATTTTTCAAGTGTCTATTCAATGAAAGTAGACAGACACAGTCTCTCTTTGACACAGCTGAGTTGCCTCTTTGGAGGCAGAAGGGAAATACAGCTAATAATGACCTTTCTTTTCTCCTCAGAAAGAGAGATTTGTCAGGAGGCAGCTACGCCAGCTGGGAATGGGAGCCCTTCCCCTGGCAGGCAGTGGCTCACTTTGAGACTGCATGGGGAGCTAGAAAGTCATGGACAACACCATGAGGGACACAAGAATAGTGGTCAGCACACCAGGTGAAATAGTCACCCATCCCGTCCTGTCATTCATGCCCTCCCTGCCTGTCTTCTGCTAAAGCAACAAAAGAATGTACATGAGAGTTGTAGGAGGTGTTTTTCTTACTGGCTTTTTAAAGCACATAGGAAGAAATGGTAACTGGTCCATGGCTCTGTCGGACTCCCAGCACAGTTCATTCAGCAGCTGTCTTGTCTCCATTGTGTGTCCTGCACAGGCAACCCCTTGTTGGAGAATTAAGGCCCACAGTCTGCCTCATTCTCTGTTTACTCTGTTTTTTGAAGGTCCTGGAGTTTCTTGTGCATAGGATCAGCTTTTCTTCCATGCCTGACCCTAAACCCTTTCCCAGGTGACGTAAGGCAGTTTGTGTGGTTAGATGGTATTGCATGCTTGGTTGCATAAGGGATATCTTGCTGCCCTGAGCCTGCTGCTGTGACCTGCCTGGCTGAAAAGCCTGAAGTCACTGGCTTAGGAAATCTTCTGGGCAGAGAATCAGCCAATAACAGAACTGAGGTGCATGGTGGCTTGACATTCTGGTTGTTTGGTTGCTTCTTGTTTTTAATATAATTTATTTTCAAATAATGATATTTTGGTAGATGATTTTTTCCCCAAATTAACTAGTCCTCAAAATGCTTCTATGGTTTCTGGTCCCCTGGGTTTAAGTAGAAAAGGTTCTCATATTTCAGGTAACGAAAATGACATCCTGCTCCCCTCTGAAAAGGGGAAGACCAGCCTACAAGCCAGCTTTGGTAATTGCTTCCTTCTTCCTGTACCTATTTAAGCATATGTGGCATTGTATCTAAGAGGAGGCACCCCTTCTTTCCCTGCCTGTTCGCTGTTCTGGCTTTTTCCTTTCTGCAGGGACAGTGCAGTTGGTTTCATTAAGTCCCAGAAAATTTGCAAAGTTCATTTTGGGGGGACTGCAGAAACCACTTGGACTGATTCTCTCTCAAATGGGTTTGGCACCCAGCTCACAAATATTTATCTTCCTCAAAGCAGAATAAAGCTTATTTGGTGTGTATGTAGGCATAATAAGAAATGCAGTTTTTGCCATCAGTCACTGTCCTTCCAGGGACTGTGGTGCAGTTTTGTCTGAAGCTTGGTATATTTCCATGGTAGTTTTGAGTTGTTTTGTTTACTGCAGGGCACACAGCAAAAATGGTTGATTATTTTAAGTTTTAGCTTACAATACTTGGAATGCTTCTGAGTAGTCTGCTGCCCTAATTTACGAAATAGCATTCCCCACCTAATTTTCCCATTTTTTTGCTTAGCTCTGTGAAAATCATAGTTTCAACAATTTGGCTATTAACTCTTTCTCTACAAGATTCATATTTTCTTCTCACCACAGAGTTGGAATGCATCTGGTCAGCTTCAGGTGATGATCTACAGTAGTGCTTCCCACACCGTAATGGCAGTAAATTAATCACCCACTACTTACAGCTTCTGTTATCTTCAAGAGGGCTTTGAAATTCTTTGCAAGAGGTGCTTGGTTTCATTTTTTCTTTTATTTTCTTACTGAGCTCTCACAACAGGCTCTCTTCTGTGTCTGTGCATTGAATGCTGCTTCTAGGCCAGAGAGACTCCAGACTGGTAAAGTAGAAGAGGGGGCAATTTGTGTCATAGATGCTGATTGATCGCCTGTCCCTTTGGGCATCCTTGTAATGGCCTCCCAAAAGAAAGACCTACTGTATTGGGTGGAAAACTGGAGGAGCCATTGTGTATTCAGCAGTGTGCAGCATTTGTGACTATGGACAACAACACAGACACTCTTAGAAAGAAAAGCACTGAGGGCAGAATTGGGCAGTCCTGTTCTATGACCTCCCCAAAAAAGGGGCTTTGGTTTTCACATATGGGGCTAGTGGGAACAAGGAAGAGTGATTCCTGTCTTGTGCTCGCTGAGGCTTTTAATTTTTAAGTTAAATTTCCTATGTCTTCCAAGTGTGAAGATTCTAACTTACTTAACGAGTGTGCATGTATTGGGAGGAGGGCATGGAGCAGGAGTGGCTGGGCTTCGTGCCAGGGATTCAGTTCTGCTCTCAAGCCTAGTGCAGAAATGGTTTGTTTTGCTTGATAACTTGTCAAAGGCAGTGACTGAGCATTGTCTGACTGCATGTACCTGAATCTCAGTTCTTATACCATCAGAGTAGACAACTGTCTCTACAGATCTGCCTAAGTTGGCTCTACCAATTGCAGTTCTCAGCATTTTGGTGTATAATTCACAGTCTCTCATTCCTGCAGATTCAGGGTCACTGGAACGATTCTTCATATGGCCAAAGGCTTAGTCCTTTCTGATAAGCCCCAAATATTTGAGCTGTGCTCTTGAAGGAATCAGACTGACTGCAGGTCTTTGACCTGCAGGATGATAGCATCCTGTGTACCAAAATGATGGAGGTAGAATAAGGCTGTAAATAAGAAGATGAATAGCTGCAGATGCTGAGTTCATTCTCCTTGACATTTATACATGTATCCTTGGTTCAAAAGAAAAGATCTGTCAAGCATGCAGAATATGCTTTAGTGCAATTTGCACACTCTGAGGGCAGATGAGAAATAAAAAGCAAGATCTAATTAAAACTGAGATGCTCCCTCCTTAATATCAGCTACTTCCTAGCTGTGCCCACCTGACAGTGAGCATCAGTCCTAGCGCTGCAGCTGCTTAGTATTCATCTTGGGTTACTTCTAGGGACATGATTCAGAATCTGCCAAAGTGCTTCCTAGACAGGGAATGAAACTGAACAAGTGCTTTCCTGAATTTGAATCAGTTTATTAGTGCAGATTTTTATTGTTTGCATTCTACTATGAAGCAGTGCTTTTCCATTAGTTTTTGTTTATACATTTTCCCTACATTTCCAAAACTAACCTCTCCTTTTTTTTTCTTCCTTTTTTTCAGGAAAAGAGGCGTAGAAGTAGTGCAGGTGAGTAAAAGCTCTATACTTGTAAAGAAGGCTTACTGATTTTAAATGCTGTCATTTGGATGCCAGTATGACGTGGGCTTACGTGGGCTTAATGATTTTTCTTTCCATTCAGTTCTTTATGACAGGTACTGCTTTTGGAAAGACAGGATTCCCCTTTTATGAAGCATGTTCAGCCCACATGCAGTCCAGCTTAATAGGTGCCCTAGTGAAAGTGGGAATGCAGTTAGGCTTTTCTTGTGTCTGTCAATTAATAAGTTCTGATAGTTGATTAGGTGATGTTACTCTTTTAATTGCATTCTCTGAATACAATTAACAGAAACAGGATCTGCCCTTTGAGAAGAAAAAGCTTTGGCAGATGGAATGTTCTTGTAACCCAGTGAGAAGTGAAATGATACTAAAGTGCTTTCAAGTTGTGGCCCATCTACAGATAAATTCAGGTGTTGGCTACATTTGTTCTTTCCCAGGTCAGAATGGTCATATTTCACATAAGATGTTACTTAAAGGATGGTGTCAGCTTGTGAAAAGAATTATGTTACATGTCAGCTGTAACATAGAGCACTATAAGCCCTAAAAGATGAAGGGGAAGCATGCTCTTTTCTGGCTTATTTTGTGCACTTAGAAGAGCTTTATGTCATAGGTTTCACTCTTGCTGATACTTACCCGGTGCTCATTTTAAACTCTGAAGTGTTGAGTTTCTCACTGCCTCAAAAGAGGTGACAGGAGAGAGGAGGAAAATGGTGTGTTAACCATGGGTAATTAAGGTTGCTGTGAAGTCCATGTGGAAGGTACTTCTCAACACCAGCAGGGAGCAGGAGAAAAGCACTTAACAAAAAATAAATTGAAAAATCAGGCCATGTTATTTAAAAGAATCTACTGTCAGAAAAGACTTAGTTAAAATGGAGAGTATGTCTTTCAGTTATGGGTGGTCATCTGAGAACTCCATTGTGTTAGAAGGACAAAGGGTATTTACTTTACTGGCTGTATTTAACATTTCAGCTCTACAGCATCAGCTTCCTTTCCTGTACTTACTATTGCTCAGAGCTAAGGGGCAGTTTCTTTCATCAATTTTGATAATGGCGTTACCAGACTGATAAAAACAAACCAGCATTTACAAAGCACAGCTTGATCAGAAGTACAGGGAGTAAGCTAGCCTGTATTTGTGTCACTGTCTAGGGGACATTATTATTTTATTAATACCTCAGTGTATTACAATCCACTGCCTGCATTTATTATATGTGCCTTGCACTGTACATTTATGCAGCAAAGGGTTCATATGAGATTAATTCAGTGAGGCATCCCTTAGTTGAGCAGAGGGAGATTCCATTTTACCTCATGAATTAAAGTTACTGTGCTTCTACTGGTTTATGTAGCTTAATGGCTAGTCATCAGACACAGAATTATTGGAAGGTATTTATTTAAAAGCATTTTGGGAAACATTTGGACAGAATTAGACAGGACTTTGTCCCCATAAAAACACTTTATGGTTTCAAATTCAACAGCATGGTTGAGATGTCACACTAATCTGTACTGGAAATTTGTGCCCCAAAGGCATATCTCAATCTCTGGTGTCTGCTGCTCTGCTGGAACAGGATGGATAGAAGTGTGTGGTCACCCTTTGCCTATCACTTGCATGTTGCTTCATATATCCTGATGCATGTGCTTCAGCCAGTAGGGAAAGTATCAGAAATGGGCTCTTGCTTCACCCCTTATTGCTAAAATCTTTGCTTGGGGCCCCTTGCATGATTGATCCCCCTAGCCCTGCTTCTAGATGAAGGATTGTCTTGGTGTCCATCTGGTGCACAAGGTTTATTTGGCAGAGGGATATTGTCTTCCCTGTGTCAAGCAGCAGCATTTCTTTGATTTGCTTCCCCTTTTCCTTTAAAGAACCTATCCTGATAGAGAGAAACCAGCTCTTAGATCTGACAGTAAGCACATAAATCAAAACCCAAGATACACAGGATGTTTACCTAATTGCTTCTTTACATAAATTCAGAATTTTTCTGAAGTACACTTGCTTTCCAGGAAGAAGTTTTGAGTTGGAAGGTAAGGTTTAGTTACTGGCTTCTAGAGAGCAAAGCACGAGGGACTGGTATGTGCTGACTTCTGTGATACAGCAGATTGTTCTTTTCCAAAGATGTTTCACAGGAGCAGGAAAGGATTTTCTACTACTAAAGGGAAGTCTTGGTAGTCTTCAAATAAGCACCTGTGTGACTGCTGTTTCTTCCCTGCAGGGAGGATTTAGGATAGTCCTCTCTTCTTTCACTAGACAGATTAAATTCTTTTATATTGCTTTCTTAGAGCTAATTGTGCTGTACAGATTCAGTCAGCTGCTGCTAGAGGGCAATTAACATTTCATGACTTGTGTTCAGGTTTTGTCTTTTGTCTTCTCTCAGACTTCCACTTTCAGCAGAGAGAGTGGTTCCAGCTTTTTATTTTTATTGAGTGGGGAAACATGCACATCCTCCAAAGAGAAATAAAGCAAGAACAGGATGGGCAGTGGGATGCTAAGCAGGTGTTCTCCTTTATCTAGCAGGAGGACTTAATTAAAGCATCACATTGAAAACAAACAGAAAACCTCTCAACTTGTGTGGTGATAAATAATTGGGGTTTTTAAGAAATACTGATTGATTTCTAACATAAAAAGAATTCACTGTGAACTCCAGGTACAAGAGCTGAAATGTGCAACTTTATGTAGTACAATTGAGTAACATCCGTCAAGCTTGCTGGCTTAGAAGATGGCACAGTAGATTAATTAAATAAAAAGCTTTGAGGTTATGAACTTTCCAAAGACAGTATGAGTCTGAGCCTGCACCCAAACATTTGGGAGCCTGAATACGATTAGCTCATTTCTGTTTTTCCGGTGGGCATGGCAGAACTCTGAGTAGAAGCATACTTAAAATCTGGCAATATTTTGAATCTAGATTTGCTTTCTGCATCTGAAATCCAAGTCAGTGGGGCAGCTGCAAACCAGTGTTATATTACAAAGAAAAAACCAAAAAAGCAATTCACTAGCTTTTCAAGATGGGGTCTTAACAGAATACTGTGCTGCATCTTTCACCTTATTATGGGGCATTTGCGTTTTTTTTTTAAGCAGGGATCACTTGAGTATCAGGGTGCTTTTTGAATTGGGGTGCTTACTTGTTCATACCCCATAAGGTAAAGAAGAACTCTTGTTCCAGTTTTACAGGAGGAGAGAATGAAGGATGTGTCCCACTTCTCCCAGGGAACCTGTTGCAGTACCAGCCCCAGTGCTGTTAGGGTTTGTGCTGCAAACCTGTGCTGCAGGAATTTCAGCTGCAAATGTCTGGGAAGGGGTGCGGGGCCATTAGTTTGTGCTGTTGTGTGTGCATGAAGGCAAGAGCAATTAAAGGTGGTCAGCAGGGCTGGGGTTGCTGGCTCTCTTCCAGTGAAAGGCAGCACCAATTCCGCTGTGTTTAATCTTTGGGCTGCATTTAAAGTGTTCTGAATGAAATGCTCTTGTGGTTCCTGTGGCTTTTCCATACCTTCTCCTTTCTTACCAGCTCTTCCCACCCTTTGCAGCTGCCTGCTCAGCTGGTGTGGCTTGAGCTGGTGGCCAGAGGAGGGTAGAGATGCCCTGAACAGGTGACAGACATGACCAAAGCCCATCTGCCATGGCCTGGAGGCAGTTGCTAGGCAGGCAGCAGCTGACAAGGCTGAGGCAGAACAGCTCTTGTGCTGGCATTGGGATGACTTGCCAGAAAATGCTTAAACTGAACATTTTTTAATAAATTCTTTCATTACTGTTTCAAGGGAAAGACTGCTTACGAAGCTATGCAGTGGATGGTTGATGAGGTGTTTATCATTAAAAAAAGCTATTTTCTGTAATGGCATCAAGCAAATAAGGATTTTGTGTAGCGTCTTAAAAGTAAAGTTGCTTCTGATCTTGTTCAATTTCCAGCCTGCCATCACTCAAATTGGTGGAGGGCAAAATTTGAGATTGAAAATTGTCAGTTCTTCTTTAGCTAGTGAAGTAGCCAGTTCCTTATGACTGTACTCTGGCAAGGGAGAGAAAGAACGTCTACCTTGTTTTTCAGGAAAAATCTGTTGGCTTAGTTTGAAGAATGAAAGAGTGAAAACATGTGCACTGAAGTGGAAATCATCACAAGTACCTCTGATAGAGACATGAATTTATTTTTGTTTCACAAGCTATGCAAAACCAGAATAATTAGCTGCAGCCCTTTGGCTTCTGACAAATTGCCAGTTTGGTTTTTGTATCAGAGTTTGGAGCCTTCATATTTCTCGTGACTTCAAAGCTGTTTCAAGCACTTTCCTTGAGCTCTTGCTCACATGTTAAAATTCTAAAATAGTGAAGATTCCCTATTTTTGGGTGGGTGTTTCTGGATCAAATGAGCACTAATGCTCTTCTATCTTAGAAGGTGTTCTAGTCAGTTGGCTATAAAAGTGGGATTAGTTGTATTTCAAACTGTATGCTTTGTAATAGCAGTGGGATATGAAGGAGAGCATGTTTTCTGATGTGGAACAGCTGACTGTAGCAGTTACACTAGTCTCGACTGCTGTCTTGTTTTTCCTTCAACTTTATGGGAATAGAGATATTTGAAATCTTTTACTTTGGAAAAGAAGATTGTTCTTTGAGACATGGGTTTTTTTGAAGCCTGCAAAGGAGAATTCAGGATGCCCTCCACACTATTTAATTCTTCAATTAAAGTGAAATACTAATGACCATGATTTTTAATATTTGTTGCCAGGGAACCTGTAGTTTTCTAGATATGAGGAGAGGTTTATTTTCACATGAAGTATTAATGGAATAAGCTTGAAACAGCAGTGTTCTAACCAAGAAAAGGAGCTTGTAAAATATGTATTTGGTAGCATATACAGAAAGATGTGACTGGAAAGCTTCCAAAGCAAGCAAGGTTGTTGAGATGTTGGAGAGTTGGCTCTCTAGTACTGGGAGGAGAAAGTTTATTTTTACATGCATGCCAGGCCTTCAGTAAAGTGCATATTTTCCTGAGAATGGCAGC